GGAAGGATTTAGAATCATACCTGGGAAAAAATATAGTTTATCATAATTGTATTCCGTTTATTAGAATCTATCCAAAATCAATTGAATATCTGGATAATACAAGAATTCTTCCATAACATTATTATATTCATGCCCGTAAAATGGTTACATGTGCATTGGAGCTTGGTGATAATGAAATAGAAGACGATAACAAGATTGCGATAAAATTGGAAGATTATAAAAAATTGAAATTAGAATCATCTAAACTTAATGATTTGAATATTGAGGATTATGTATCGCGTTTTAAAGATTTAGATAAATCAGCTACATTATTCTTGATTCATATGTACAAAAGAGAATTGCTTGATCCATTTGAAGATTATAGAAGATCATTTGAGTCATTGAAACCAGAAGAGATTTTTGCAATGTTAACTGGAGAAACAGAAGAAACTTTGGCCTATCTAAAGAAATTTTAAGTATGTTTTTTTTTGAGGGAGAAAATATTGACCAATCAAATAAAGTAATTAATGAAATTTTCGTCGTTCATTACAATGAGGTTAATGATGTATTACGAAACTTTGATTTTAGTCATTGATGTAACTAAAGTATTGACTAAAGGTAGTTTCTCACCAGAGCCGTTTTAACTATTGATCAAAGTAAAAGCCCTTGACGTAATTAAAAACACTTGACGTAATTAAAAACATTTGAAGCAAGTAAAAACGTTTGAAGCAAGTAGAAACGCTTGACACAAGCAACAATGATGATAATGATAAATAGGATTATCAAAAGTTCCAAATTATGTAAAAATGTGTGTCTCAGGGATGGATAAAGAATTATTATATCATTCATCAGGAAATTCTCCTCGCCGTAATATTACGTCCATAAATTTTAATATGTAAAGTTTTAATATTATGTAAATCCGCGTCAGAAAAAATTCCTGATGTTGTATATGTATTGCAATGAATAATTATCATGGGAAGCTTGCAAATGTTTTAGGAATATTACTTAATTAAACTAATATTGCTTGTTTGTTTTTTTTTTATATATTTTTTCCAAAATAAAAAAACCTTTTTTACAAATTAAAACTATTCTTTTATTATTACATTTCATAAAATCAAATTGTCTTTACATGCATATAAGTTGTGTTAAATTGATATTTTTTTCAAATTTTTGACTTTTGAAGTTAACAGTAATACGCAATAATATTAATAATTTGCTTGAGCTGCCTTAGGTTGACTTTTTACGACAGATTTTGGTACATATTTTTGGAAGTTTTAATTTTGTTTCTATTTTTATCACTTTAAATCTTCAAAGAATCTGAAATTTTTTTATTGTTGAATTACAATAAGTCGATCAATAGAGTTTGATGATAATAAAGTTGTTCTTTAAATAATGTAATTTCCGTTTTTTTTAATTTACATCCTTATCAATTAATCTTGTTAGAGAAAAATTTAAAGGCAATGTTTGTATGAAAAATTGTTTGTTACACATAATTCAATCCTCCGCAAAGAAAAACAAGTTTGTAGATTCTCATTGCTTTGATCTTGTTGGTAAAGTGGTTGTCAGTAAAGTGGACAGGACCCAATTAAGTTGAGGGGAAAATTTGTTTATTATCAAAAAGTGCACACAAGAAGATGGTTAGCAATTAATGAGTGTCTTTATTAGTTACATTTTTTACTAGGCATTTCAATGTGTTAGGGTAAAAAGATAAAGATGAAAAAATATTTTTTGACAATTAATTGATTGACTATTTGATTAATTGATGTTGAGAAAAGATGATTTTGGTGTTTTTGTGAAAATTTTCACAATCACACTGGGGGTAGCTCTGGACATGATGAAATAGGACAAGCCTATTTAAAGGGACCATGTGTGAAAGGAGCACAGCAAATGGAGAAAAAGAAATGTTAAAAAAATTTTTTTGTTTTATTGCAAATATTTATTATTATTATTTTTGTTTATTTGTCCAGGTAATACCAAATTAGTAAAATCCAATTTAAAAATGAACGTCAAATAATTTTTTTATCTTCTGCTTCATTAGTCTCCACTTTAATGTAATGGCTTGGCTTTTTCTTAGTATTCCCATTCGTTGAAGTTCAACACAACTTAGTTTTTTGCTAAAAACATGTTTTAAAAGAATTATTATTTCTTTTTCCGACCACTTTTTATTCCAGGAAGTGGTGGTTCTTACTTCAGGATTTTCTAACACACTGTCTTGGTCCTCATTACTATCATCACCCCCACATTCATTATTATTACCCTCATCCTCATTCTCACCATAATTACCATTATTATCACCGCCGCCAACATCCTCATCCTCGTTTAAAATTTCCAACTTTTCGATTATTACTTCCACCACAAAATGTTCATTATTTTCTTCCCCTTCCTCAGATACTTCCTCTTCCCCAGATTCTTCCTCACTATTATCACTAATAGTCTTTATTTTTTTAACATGACCTTCATTGTCATCATGGCTTCCATCACTACCTCTTTTATTATTTACATTAATAGTTGTAATGCTACTACTTGAAGATTCACTTTGATCTTCACTTGAATTTTTTTCAGAATCTTCCGATTCCTCTGACTATAAGATTTTAAAAAAATATGTACTGTAAATAAAAAAATGTAAATGAATAGATAACGGCCAACAAAAAGTTTGAAGTTACTCTGTCATATTGAATCATAAGTTCGTTTATTATCTCTTCCAAATTCTT